GAAAGCAGGCATCCATCCTGGGCCTTCTCCATCTCCACAACATGCCTAAAAACCTATAGAAACACTATATGTTGTGTTTTCTTTGTGTCACACCTTAGGAAAGCAAAACGAACTGGTAGAACTCTATGTTGGCAAGGTGTTGATGTGCTGTGATTGTGGAGCAAGTGCAGTTGTGCTACAGGAGCGCAGTGTTCTCATGATAGTGGTACTCATCTTCAGCCAGGCTGTGCTTCCAGTGTTTGTACCTGCTGTGGAGGTGAGACGAAGATGGGGAGATTGAGGTTTATCTTTCTGCACCTCAGAGGATCTGCACCTCAGAGGATCTTCCTCGTTCCCATCCTTAACTCTTCACTCCCCCAGGTGCCCTTCGCTCGCTACTTGGCTATGAACAAAATCACCAACATCAAGCGCTACCACATCGCAAAGGTGTACAGGAGGGACAACCCGGCCATGACCAGGGGCCGCTACAGGGAGTTCTACCAGTGCGTGAGTGTTGTGGTCCTGGGCCAGGGGAGGGGGGAGAGTGCATGGGTGAACAGCTGAGAGCCAGGCTTCAGCAGCTGCCCAGCTGTGCCAGAATCTCTGCCTTTTCTTGTGGCCTCAGGATTTTGACATTGCCGGCCAGTATGACCCTATGATTCCTGATGCTGAGTGCCTGAAGATAGTGCATGAGATCCTGAGCGAGCTGCAGATTGGGGATTTTCTCATTAAGGTGAGACCAGAGCCAGGTATTCTATACACGTTTGTGCCTTCACTTCCTGGCTCTAGAGTGCTGTGGGATTGAGACACCAGTCAAAGGACGCAAGCAGACTCCCAACAGCTGTGCTTCTAGCACTCCTTGCACAAGGGCAGGAGAAAATTGCAGTAGAACATCTTTTCTGAGCTAAGCATGCTTCTCCAACCCCCAGGTTAATGACAGACGAATTTTGAATGGCATGTTTGCCATTTGTGGCATCCCGGAGAGCAAACTTTCAACTATGTGCTCTACTCTGGACAAGCTGGACAAGGTAAGCACTGTGTTCTTACAGCAGGTCACTTCCAGTCTCGGGTTGGATGTCAGGTGCAGGGCGCTATCATAATAATTAAGCCATTAGTAATTGTAAAGGACACAAAGAAATTCTGGGCTGATATCAATGGCAAAAAGTAAGACGTGGCATTTTCACTGATCTTAGTTAACAATCTGTGTGAGATACACAGAGATCATTAGTAAGGACTGCTCACGGACAATTATGTTACATTATAACATATGTGCTGGATACAGGGGCCTCTGGAGACTGTGTCTGATGCGAATGTTCTGCAGTGACAGATGCTCTTTATTCACCTTAGATGCCGTGGGAGGAAGTGAGGAG